ATGCTCATGAAGATCGAGGGCTGCAGCCTTCAGTATGGACTGCAATTCAATGTAAAGCAAACTGAAATTCTCACAACTGGACCACAGAAAACATCATAACAGAGAAAATATTGATGTTGCCAAGGATTTCATCTTACTTAAATCAATATGCATGGAAGCAGCAGTCAAGAAATCAAATCAGGCATTGCATTGGGAAAATCAGTTTTATAAGACCTCTTTGAAGTCTTGAAATGTAAGGATGTCACTTTGAGAACTAAGGTACATCTGATTCAAGCCATTTTGCAATTGATCCAAGCAATTGCAATCACCTCATATACGTATAAAAGTTGGACATTGAATAAAGAAGACCTAAGAAAATTTTTGCATTTGAATTAGGTGCTGGTGAAGAATATGAAAGGTACCATGGATTGCCACAAAAACAAAAAGATCTATCTTGGAAGAATACAGCCAGAATGCCCCTTAGAAGCAAGGATGGTGGATCTTTGTTTCATGTACTATGGACATGTTATCAGAAAGCCCAGTTCTTGGAGCAGGACACCATGCTTGGTCAATTAGAGGGGCAGTGGAAAGGAGGAATCCCCTTGAGAAGGTGGATTGACATAGTGGCTTCAACAATGTGCTCAAACCAATTGTGAGGATAGCACCAGACTAGGCAATGTTTTGTTGTGCTGTACATATGGCTTCTCGGAGGCAGAATCAACTTGATGGACCTACGACAATAAATAAAAGATAATGCTTTTAAGAATGATTCCCCTTATTTTGAAATATGGGGCTTATTTTGATTTGAACTGGGCAGACATTTGTTTGACTAAGAGGGTAAGGATACAAGGGTGAGCATTCTCTCTGGGATCCTAGACTCTACACCTTTGAATTATGAGGCCAGTAGGTCCTTTTGAGAGGTTTGCCACATGATATTGTACTCATCAGACTCGAGAAGAAATGATAAATTTTAACAAAATACAATTTCAATGAAACAAAGTTTAGTCATAAAATATTTTCATGCTGCTCTGCTTAGATGGTTGCTAATCTCTCCAGTAATTTCCATTACATTACATTAGAAACAATCTGATTAAATGTGTATGCTCATCTGAAAGGCTTTCCCAGAATAGTCATTTTAGTCTTTTAACATCTGCAACTGTTAAGTTTATGTGGGTAGAACTGATAGCTGACAGAATTTGAAGAAGGCATCACACAAGCCAACTCTAAAAGTTTTGTTCTAAATATGCTACTTATGAAAGCATTTTTCTATGACATGATTTCACAAAAAAAAAACCCTTAGATTACTTTTCCTCTCTGATGGTCTTGATTTCAACCCAGTAAATTTGCCTAGAAAATATATAAGCCCTTCAATTTCTAGGCTAATGACTACCAAACAAAAGATCTTTGGGAACCACTTTACATCTTGTTAATTATTTTACCAGTTGACTCTTACTCAGAAACATTAATATGATATTTCTGGAGGAAACTCTTTTAAAAATGGATACTATTCCCTGCTTAATCTTTGTAAAATGTGGTCTTGTTTTGGTTCCTTGAAAGCAGTGTGTTTTTGTTACTGTTTTGTGTCTAACCAAAAGGCTGTTTTATGCCTTGTGGTCTCCAGTGTCTGTTCTCTGTCTCTGCAGCTCTCTTCTTCCTTTTGAGTGAACTCTTCCCATCCTTCACATATGACTGCTGTGTCTGGATCATCTGTGTTTGTTTTCCTCAGAGTCCTTAGCTTGGTCTGCTAATAAATGTTCATTAGCATAATGATGGACTTACTCTGTGGTGTAAATGGCTAAAGCATTTGACTATTAATGGAAAGGTTGGAAGGTCAAGTGCATCCAAATGTGCCTTGGAAGAAAGGCCCAGTGATCTACTTCTGAAAAAGCAATCCACCAGTCTCTGGAACCACAGCTTTATTCTGGTATACATGGAATTGCCATGAGTGGAAGTCAACTCCAGGGCAAATGCATGTGTGTGAACATGCATGTGCATGTGCCATGTAATCCTATGATTAATCTTTGTCTTCTGCTCTTGGCTGAAAACTTCCTGAGAACAGTGGCTCATGTGCACTTCGTTTCATTGTATCCTCAGTGACTATCACAGGAGCTGGCACATAGTAGGGTTCAAGAACAGCATAGAAAGAATGAATGAGAAATGAAAGTACCCAGTAATCATATAATCATATAGTGTGTCACTTTTATGAGTATAATAAGGGAGAGTTCAATCTATGCAATTTTTATTGTAACTTAAAAGTTAGGAAAATTAACAATTACAAAAATTCTATTTGAAACCAGGCATAGGAGCAAAGGCTTTAGAGAAATGCTTTCTAATAGAAATATAATTTGAGCCACACAGATAATTAAAAAATTTGTAGACTCATTAAAAGAGTAGAAAAAACCAGAATTAATTCAATGACATGTTTTAAGTAACCCAATATATTGAAACCATTATGATATCAGCATGAAATAGATCTAGAAATTATTGATAGTTTATAATCTTCTACTTTCACAGTAAGCCCCTGAAAACTGGTGTGTAGTTTACACTTGCAACCTCTTAATATGAGCTAGTCACATTTCAAGGATGTAAGAGCCACCTGTGTGGCTGTATTGAACAGCAAGCATGGGATCATTTGATATACAGTGTTCTTCTGTAAATAGCATGGTGAGTTGGTAGTAAAGTCTTTGCATGCTTTGGAAAATCAAATCAAGATGCTTGAATCGAGGTAACCAATTATGGTAATCACATAACACCAAGTGCATGGACAAAGGTCCCAAACCATTCCTATCCTCCACAGGTAGAAAGCATGTATGCAGTTATTCCATCTTAAAAAATGTTTTTAGTTTTTTATCTTGAACATTGGATGAAGGTTTACATAGCAGATCAGTTTTCTACTCAACAGTTCATAGACCTTTTGTTTCACTTCACTGATTACAATACCGACAATATAACACATCTTAACCCACGTTCTCCCTGTTTCTTGTTTCAATTCTTCTTTCTTTCATAATCTTTCAGAACTTTGTCCTTGGGTAAATGCTGCTATTTTCTTTAATCTCAGATGGTTGATTACTTTAAGATGTGCATAAATCCTTAGTGTTGCTGCTCCCCTGATAGGCCTGTCTGTCCTGTGGCTGAAAATGAGTCCACGGAGGTGAGTTCATGTCCACGGGGGCCACAGTCTTGGGGGTTCTGCCAGTCTCTATCAGACAAATAAGCCTGCTTTAAGTTTCTGTTTCTCATGATTGTGAGTTTTGTTTCACATTTTTGTTTTCCTCCTACTCTATCTAGGACCTTCTAATGTGATCCCATTGAGCACAGTTGGAAGTGGTAGCTCAACACCACCTAATTCTTCTAGTCTGAGAGTAGTGGAGACTACTGTTTGCATGCATAATGTATTAGTCCATTGAATTAATTGTTCCTATGTGTCTTCAATCTTCTCTCCTCCACATTGGATGATACCAATAGTTGCACTTTAGACAAGCTCTCACAGCTTAGAAGAGCCCATTTACTACTCACTAAACTAGGATGTAGAGCATGGTTTTTATTGGGCTCTTACAGGTTTCATACCAATCCATGCATCAATTGTATCAAGCACATTTGTTCATATGTTGCCACCTGGCTTTTGTAGAATATATTCCTGTTGACTGTGCTCTTAAGTCTCTAGGCCCAGATATTGTTCCCTCAAGGTGTTTGCTTCTGCTTGGTTTTATATTTGCCCCTGTGTGCTCCACGACATTGAGTAATTTATTGTCAGCAAAGATAAATACACATATACACATATACAAATATCCTCTGTCAAACTTATGTATTTATTTGTGGGTGTAGTCTCCCTCTCCCCTCCCACTCATGTAGCCCGTGTCTCTCCATGCATCTACTTGTAGATCACTGTTATTGTAGAATTGTTTGCACACACAATGTCTTTCCCTGCCACCATTTTGAGGCCATGATTCTCTTTAGATGTGACATTTGGAGTATGAGTACTTACGGGGCTGTAGGAGACGCAACCATACCCACTGAGAAAGTCTTGGTGCTACCTAGATGAATTGTACAAACCTTTCCCCCTTAGTTAATCTTTTTAACAATGAGTAAAACACATGATGTTTGTATGAGATTGTTACAAGGAGAAAATGTAGAGTATTTCATTTTTTTATGTGCAAAACAATGAACCCTGGTGGTGTGGTGGATTAGGTGTTGGGCAAGGTTGGTGGTCCAAAGCCATCTAATTGGTCTCGGGTTCTTGCTATTCGTTTTGATGTTCTAAGCATTTTTGTGGTCCTGTGGTAGCCTCCTTTCTTTTTTTAGAATGGCGCTTTGGCCAAACATTATTTAGTCATGAATATCTGCTCATGCGAAATAGGGGTTTCCATCACATTCTGTGCTGATACGGGAATCACATGCGCTGAATTGCCTTTTGTCAGTGAGTTGAATTGGTTAGAACATGATACTAACGACTTCTTGGGTTGAGTTAAATTAATTCCCTTCCACTGCCAGAGACTACTTTCCTACTCCCAGCGAACCACTTCATAAGTAGAGTCCTCACCAAGAAAGAACTTTAAAAACGAGAGTAGATGCTTCAGTGGAAATTTATCATCAGCACAGAAGAACCAAAAGCCGTATTTTCAATTATTTCCCAAATAACCATCGATGAAGAGAAGAAAGGGAGTCAGGTTTTGATGAAGAAACAATAGACTCAAGAGCTTTTAATTGAAATGTCACTTTCACTATTAAACAAAACATCATTCCTGTGACTGTGTGATAAAAGCTGATGGTGTCTTATTTCTTTGTGTGGAATTGCTTTTCTCTCATCACTGACTTAATTTGATTGCACCAGTTTGTCAGCTGCCACATTTGGCTCCCTCAGCTGCAAAATATAGATAATGACGGTCTATGCAATTTCACAGTCATGTGCCAGCACTTTGCTTCTCCTAATCAAGATGAGCCAGAATGATCTCCTCCCTCAGAAGTTTGGTACAATGAAAAAGTTCAAGGCTTTTCTTGTTTGTCTGTCTTCTATTTTACAGGTGGCTTGTCTGATATCTTGCATTTTCGTCCTTATAGTCATCTATGCAATAGGACCTTTGCTTTACTGGCTGCCCATGGTACAGTAATGGTTTTTCATTATTACTCTAATGGGAATGATGGTATATTAACAGTTTCTTAGAGGATTAGCAGCCTCACTCATTCTAAGTCTGGAAAGCATGTTGCTGAATGGACAGTTGAGTCTGAAGAGCTGGAGAGATGTCACATTTCATGGGGACGGGATGGGAGGGTAGCTTGGCAGGGAGGGCACCAAGGTGGTCTTCTACTCCGTAGACATATCAAAAAAGCATTGTGCGATTGGCTTCATCCTGTCCTCATTTAGAGGGTTTGACTAGATTCACTTCACTTTTGTATAAGAAGTCGAAAATGGAAATGTTTGTTTTTCAGAACTGTTAAATGAAAGGGCTGTCTTTTGATAGGGTACATTGCTCATCACTGGATGGCTTTCAATAGAATTTGGATGTCCACTCTTTGAAGATATTCTAGAGGAAACAATTGACTTAAAGGGTTACATTCAAATTCTAAAATTCCATGGTTAAATATACATTTGTGCTAGGGCAGAACACTAGTCCACGTGGCTCTTCTTGACCTTTATAGACCTGGGGCACCAGAAGGACACAAGTAAGACACTGGCCTAAAGAAAGCCAGAGACAATGTTGGTCCTTTCTTCCTCAAGCTCTTCATTTGTTTCATGGGAACAAATTATTCCCACAGAAGGAGTTTCCGATTATCAAGTGTATTTTGAGATATAAATACCTGCAGGTGAAACCACTTAATTAGTACTCAGGGCAATTTTAAGGAAATATATAATGTAAAATATTCAGGGGTTTTCTTTTGCAACAAATACATATCAAGCAAAAGACAGTGAATTAATGCTGTAAAGTTAAAAGGATCTTCATCTGTATAATTCACTACTTGTTTTTTAATAGCATACAATTTGTTCAGCACTTTTCTTGATTTAGTTTTATATTCTTCTAGTGCAAAAGTAGGTTAGTTCTAAATAAAATTAAATATCTCATTATTACTTCAGTCTTCTTAATGGTTATTGCTTTGCTTTAGTAAGTCCTTTAAAAACAAAGAAAGAAATAATATCTTAGTCTTGAAATCTGGATTAAAATCCTTATCTTCTTCATCAGTGTGTTTTTTATTCGTAGTGTGTTCTTGCCAGCATTATCGTCGTGGGACTGAAAGGAATGCTAATACAGTTCCGGGATTTAAAAAAATATTGGAACGTGGATAAAATTGATTGGGTAAGTAGAAATTTGACCTAAATTTTCTTTCTTTGGCTTAAGTACATATTACCAGATAAGCTTTATTACTTTCATTTTCAGAAAAGTGGATTTCGTCCCTTCACATGTGTGTACTTGGTAAACACTCAGTTCTATTTTGGAGTCTTAATAAAAGCATGCACATGTAAAATGTATTTATAAGACACATAAGTGGAATCTGTCAAATTTTGATAGCGCAGTTATTTGTGAATGTTTAACGAAATTATAATTATCTTAATGTATTAGGGATACCCAATTTATGTTATGAATTGATTTTGGAAGTGAGGCCCATTAAGGAAACACACACTAATAGACATTTGATCATTTATAACATGTATGAAAACTAACGTTAATTGCTAAGAAATATATACTGTATTAGTACAGGGTGAATTTCTTAATAGAGACCATATTTATTCTGAATGCAAAGATGTCTCATAATTGTCTGCCTTATGTTAATAGACTATTGCTGGGAACAGATTTAAATTATACTGAATAATGATAAACAGTGGCTTCTTTTACCAGAAGTGATTAGCACATTTACTCTAGATAAGGATTCATGCAAGAGTATTTTAAATTCTCTTCCCATCTAGTATGTCATATATTTCATAGGTACCTCCTTCTGTTTACGTCTATTGTGGCATTCATTACATTGTAATACAATTACTTATTGGTTCAAACTCTTTTACACCCCGGCTCTAAGACAATTTGAAGGATTAGTCACGCCGTTGTCCACTTACATAAAAATGCTCCTGAAATTCAGTATTACTGAGATTTCACTGAAGTATAGTGCTGGGTGCCATGGGGAGTGCAAAGATGAATCAGGAGAATTACCTGTCGTCTTCAGACTCTAGGCATTGTGCCAGGGACATGGAAGCTCTAACTTATTATACAATCTAACCTGCACTTAAATGCACAAGCTTCTTTCTGGGGGTAGGGGTGAAGGATGGAGGCAGGAGCATTTCATTTGGATTGGGTTAATATGAAAATATCCTACCAAGGGTTACAATATGAGCTGAGACTTCAAAGAGCATACTCTGGTAGGCAGGTTAAAATGAACCAGGCTGAGAGAGGATTATGACTTTTGAAATCGCCATCTGGGAGGTACCAACATGAAAACAGAGAAAGGAGAAGATACAAACTTATTGAGCAAACAACTTGGGAGCGCCACGATAATGTGTTTCTAGGAACCCATTAATCACACGGGGGAGAACGCCTTACCATATCAGGAGGGGAAGGAAAGGCGTGTCAGGAAGGGCTTTGTGTAGGAAGTGGTATGAGTGGAGAATTGAAGGGTGAATACACATTGCCTGAGGAAAAGAGAGAGAAACCACATGTGCAAGCCCACAATGCTGAGTGAACATCTCTGAAAAAGCGGGCTCAGCATGGGTTCACCGTGAGATGCCACTGAAAGGGGAAGCATGAGTGAAATGTATGTCTCAGCCAGGTCTCATAGGGACCTTGAAGAAGATGGATCAAAGTGAGGAAATATGCATGAAGTGAAGTATAGCTTTAGTAATTGATGCAAACACAGGCGGAACAGCTCCAGGAGAGGGACATAGCTGATTGGAGCACACAGGAGCAGATGATGGGGGAGGAGGAGAGACTGGAGCACATCCTGGCCCACCAGGCCTTGAGGACGATGACCCCAGTTAGAGCAGCCAGTCCACAGAGAGGACCAAATGGCCAGCCCCACTATGAGACATGATGCCCCTCACTGACCCATGGCCCTGTGGGGGAC